GAGAAATCACTGATATTTTTTAGACAATTTTTAGATAATTTTTTTTATTGTTTTTAAATGGTAATTAGGTTGGTTTTTTCACGTTAAAGCTTGAGTGATTGTTATCTTGATCAAACTCAGTATTTAAATAGTTATCTGGGTATCTATCTATACCTCTCTATATCTGCCCCCATGTCCTGAATCTCCTTGGCTCTTTCTCTGCCTGGTCACATGGGGCTCTCGGTATCACCTTCACATTTCTCTTTCCCCTTTCAAAATTGTCTCTAGTCCTTCCTGGGGTCTGCGAAGGCATCTCACACCATGTCCTGGGCAGTTCCCAGCACCCGTAGCATTGTCTGCGGCCCTGGACCCTCCTCAGCAGGGGCCTTTTGCTGGTGCTCTCTGTGGGAAGGCTCATTCCTGAACCAGAGCAAAAGTGAAGAGGTGTCAGAATGTCACCGGGAATCTTCCAAACAGTCATGCTGTGTGGAAGAAGCCGGGCACAAAAGGTCATATATTGTATGGTTCCGTGTATATGAAATATGCAGAATAGATAAATCCATAGAGACAACGCAGACCGGCGTTTGCCAGGGGTTGTTTGGGAAGAAGAGAAAATGAAGAATAACTGCTTAATGGAGTTGGGGTGTTGAAAATGTTTTGGAACTTGATAGAAGTGATAGTTGCACGACATCGTAAATATACCAAAAGCCACAGAAGTGTTTAGCTTATAATGGTTAATTTTATGTTATGTGAATTTCACATCAATAAATTATTATTTTTTTTAAACAGGAAAAATATGGCAGTGGGGGTTCCCATTAGCCCAGTCCTTGCTGCCGACTGGCCTCATGCAATGCTCCATTGAGTTCTCGAGAGGCGCCCCTCTTCTCTGCTCTGTTACACCTGGAGACTGGGCTTCAGTGAAGCACTGCTTGTGCCCCTAGTCTCAGGGTCCCTCGTGAAAATAGCTCCTTCAGCTTCTTTTTGAATCTCCTCTCTTTACAGTCCATGGGTTGTTTGTTTTTTTTTCCATTTCACCAAATCTGTTCTTTCTGTAGCCAAAGCAGAAGTCTATAGACTTCCATCAGACTCATTTAGATCCTGAATCTCATTATGGTTAGTCAGAATCTAAGATCCACACAGAATCTCCCCCAGACACTCAGACACACACACACACCCAGGACACCCAAGGTACACAGACCCTAGGATTTCAGAAGTACACGTAAACCCTTCCTCAAGATCCTGAGCTTTTAACTTACAGAGAGCTGTAATGTTAAGGAAGACGGGCTCTTGGATCCTCCGGCTACTGCCTTCTCTCCCTGGGAAGCGAAACTGTAACTGGAGCTTGGCCAGCATGTGATAGACCAATACAGAATATTTTATCACACCACAAACTCGGTTTCCACCTTCTTTTTGAGAAAAACTTTCTTGATTTTTAAATTACTGAAGCTTATCAGTTTAGAATCAATTAGATCAAAGAATAAAATAACTTTCTTTTTATACTTGCATTAAGCAGATGTTTTGGTTATCAGAAATTAGATTATAACTTTAGCTTCATCAGTCTTAGTTTAATTTATGTTTTTATGGTTTTCTTATTTTTTTTTAAATTTAAAATCTTATATTTGGAATGATTGGATGTTAATGCAAGAATTCATCATAGTACTATGATAACATAATTTGTGATTGTTAGTTCCCAAAAAGAAAAGATAGCCGGTGTTGAGAAAAAGTAGGGAATTGTCTGCAAAACATAGTGACTTGAGCTAAATCTGTTTTTTTTTTTTTTTCCAATAAATACTTTTTGAGCGTGTGTTATAAGGGGATACAACAATGTACCAAAAAGACATGGTTCTTACTGACAAGGCAGTTACATTTTAGTGGGAGAAACAAATATAAAGGTAATAATTATGGATTATGGTCAATACTATGAAGAAAATAAAATAATAATACTCAGATAGGGATGGAGAATGGATGAAAATATAGGTAAAACAAGAATGACAACATGTTGACAGATGTTGAAGCTTAGTGACAGGTGTAAGAGAGTCAGAAACCAAGTTTTATGGGTTAAAAAGAAACTAAATGATAAAAAGTAAGAGTTGTGGCTATCATCTACCCACCAATTTTAGAAAATTTGGAAATAAATGGAGGAGAGAACAGTGAAAAGGAGGCTTTAGATCAAGCGAAAGATTTTTTAAAACTGGAGGAGGCCCATGAATGTTTGAGAAAAGAAGGACGAGATGAGTGGAGGAAGGCAGAGTGCATTTATAGATAGGGTTCATTTATTGAGATTTGTGAATTTGAAGGAACCTGGGGATTAGCGAGGCTGTTCCCCTAAGCTCAGCCCTGAATTGTGCTCTTCTGACTCTCCTGTCTGGTGGTGGAGAAATACGTGGAAGAGGAAAGAAAGGAAGTGGAGTTCAGCTTTTTCTTCATATCTCCTCTCAAATGGAAGTCATTGTTTAGACTGCACTATTGAGGACTTGAAATGACGAGTTTAGATTTCCTATTAAGGGGGAAATTTTGGAATTGCAATTGTAGAGAAGATGCTTTAGTTAATAAATGAATGAAAGGGTCAGTGCAGTTTTTAAAATACCCATATAAGTGTTGTGCAAGTAGAAATCAGGATGCTTATGGTCAGACAGGATTGGTAAAGAAAGTCTTGTTGAAGAGTGTGAACTTTGATGTTGTTTTTTTTTTTGAAGAAATATTCTCTGAAACTGCAGCATCATTCATGGCTTTTGTTTTGGGAGGGAGATTTAAGTTTAGAGTTGGACTAAGGATTATATATTTTTTAAGAGTTGAGGAATGTACACTTCTATCTCTTGAGTTTAGGAAGACTCCATTTCTCTGCTAGAAAAATAAAAAGCAGAAAATGGCTTCTAAAAGATTGCTGTAGATTAGCCGTAGATAATTCTTCAATTAAGTACAAGTGTTCTTTCCATTTTTCCTTGCTTAATTTTTACCTGCTTTCCTTCCTCCCTCTTTCCTTTCCTCCCATTAATTCTGCAAATATTTATCAAGCATCTGCTGTATGCCAGGAGCTATGCTGGATACTCACAGCTAGAGTGGCCTCAATGAATTGTGATTTTCTTTGTTTTGATTCTTGGAGTTCCAAGAATTTTAAGTGGAAGCAAGGAAAAGAATGTTAGATTTCACATTAGTTTAGAATTAGCTTTTTCCCCCTGAATGGTCACTAGAATGCAGTTTTGTATGATCTAATCACTTTCTCAAAGAGAATTCTATTTTAGTGAAAGCTTCTATTGCAAATACTGAAGGAAGACAAGTCGACGGAGTTATTATAATGTCAAACTTCAGAAGCCCCTGAATATATTCTTTGGTGACTATTTCTTATATTTTTCTCAAGGACCACTTCAGGGCTTATGTAATTTCCCTGCTGTGTATGTGAGAGACAAAATTGAATAGAACTAATACAGTTACCCATGAATCTGTCTTATTGTTCCACACTTTCAGAGGTTAAATACGAAAATCATGTTCTATGAAAAGTCTTTGAAGCCGCATCAGGAAATCCAAAGTTGCGGGTATATTCTTCATTGGCCTAATTCACTTAGAGACTCAGGTGACCTGATTTATTTAATATTTATGTGCCTATGTTGTCACACTGATCTGAAAACAGATACTATTTTATCTGTCATATGTGACTTTGACTCATTAAATGCAATGATCTGTTTTCTTCGTGCCTGGTCTAGTTATTAAATAGTGGAACTGTATGTTACTGGGAAAGTTTCAGTTCTGGTGTGGATTTACTGACTCCTTATTGACTGTAGATGTTTATTTACATTGTCCCTTCTGTTTTATTCTTTATAATTGAGATATTCTATAAATTATACACCTTTATAGCCATTTAATTATCTAATTCAACAGATACTTGTGGGGCACGTACTACGTGCTTACGTCCTAGGTATGGCATCTAGAGCTTCTTAAGGCATAGTCTCTGCATGTCGGGAACTTTTAGTCTAGTTGAGGAAGGTAATTGTACCGTAAGGGCCACAATAGTGATATTAACCGTGTCTTGGGAGCTCGGCCAAAGCAGTGAATTCTTTCCGGGAGGAAGCCCCACAATGGAGGGGTTAACATTGAAAGTATACGATTTTTTGTGTGTTTTTATTGTTTTTGTTGGAAGTATATGATTTTCTGTGTGTTTTTATTGGTTGGTAGGTGGGTGGGCGGTGAGGATGGGAAAGGCATTGAAAGCAGAAGGAACCACATATAACATACGTAAGTGGTAAAGCGTGATAGGAGATTGCGAAAAGGTTTGAGTGTATTTTGAATATCTTGCTGTGTGTTGAGCCACACCAAAACTTAGTGGTTTAAAACCACTATCACAATCTCCTGGGCAGAAGAATTCTAAATAATGTATAGATACTCCACCCTCAAGGACATGGAGCATAACTCTCCATGCTTTAAGTGTAGCTTCACACAGTGGAGAAGCCGGACAAACACTGTCTCAGCCAGGTGATCACCGTCACCAGCAACAGTGATGAGTCATGTTTATAGTATGTACCCTTATGTGATATGATGAAATGACATTTTATCTCAGTGGTCTTCTTCCCCTAAATGCATTGCCTGACTCTAGTTATGATAAAAATACCAGGCAAGTCCCAACAGAGCGATGTCCTATACAATACCTGACCAAGTACTCCAAGCTGTCC